GTGTACAAATATCGAGTAAATGTTACTGAATTGCTACGATTGCTATATTAGAAGTTAGTGTCTGAACCGATTAGACCTTTGACTTCATGTTATCATCCACGTTGACCGCACTCAACTGACAGATTCGATGTGACAATGGGCAGTCTGATTGCAAATTACATTTTTTTAAGCCAAGATGAGATTAGTAATCAATGATGTGGTCCACCCAAGTACATAAAATTCAACTATTTGTTCAACAATTTTACCGATGTTCAATAATTAAGCGAGTCGCCCCTGCAGCACAACCGTCGGCACAAACATTCGACCTCACGAGGTCAGTTTGGTCGGGAGCGCAGCCCTACACCACAAATTTAGCTCGTAAACAAGCCCTGGCGCCAACGCCTACCCTATAATGCAATAACTAAACTCAGCTCACACCCAAGAAGCTGTAGGTAACTGAGCCATCTCCCCACACCAACTTTAAGCACCACCTACCTCACTCCACAGCTCTGATGAATCAAATAGTCAATTGTCAACAGGTCCTACTCCACAGAATTTTACCCCATACTATCACTTCTTACACACGCCGTAAGCCTTACTGGTCGCAGGCCACGCCGGATCATCGTAAACCTGCTCTGCTATATGCAGGACTGGCGTAATCCCGCTGCACTCCACAGGCTAAAGCGCAAACCGCCGTCCCTATAACGCCATGCCCCGGCTCTCCCCCTTCGCAGCCATAAGGCTTTCTTCAATTGCTGATCAGTTGTGCGCCAGAATAGATTAGGTTAGGTTTGGTTAGGTTAGGTTAGGTTAGGTCCCTCCATCGCCCAGGCGCATTACTGATCGGGCAACGAGAAAAGCCTTCTGCTGGCTGCGAAGGGGGAGAGCCGGGGCATGGCGTTATAGGGACGGCGGTTTTGCGCTTTAGCCTGTGGAGTAGAGCGCCATGAAGCAGTGGCTGTGACGTAACGGCGCTGTTATGTCAGGCGCTTATTTTCAAAAGCCGCGAATACGCCAGGCTGTGTTTAATACAAGCACGCAACAGTTAGGCTATTTGCCCACGGCTGTTGCTTCGGTGGCTTGATGTTATCTGGCTGATTGATTCATATCCAGGAAAGGAAATGACGCCTATATATATGGCTTTAGGCACTTAATCACACAGGCTAATATGCCCTCTAGCGTGATTACGAGCGGAAAGGAATAGATATTGAATTGTGGGCAAGGGCTATGTAGCGGTCTATACTGCGTCCCGTTTGGTCGAGTCTGTGACGATGAGGAATGCCATCGGCAACAATTTCCTTGCCTTTAATGCGGTCTGTACACAAGAAGTTTGATTTTATTCTAATTTACAATAGAAAATCATGCTTTTTATATAAATAATATCGATTTCAGTGTTTATCTGGCCGTTGGCCTGCCACAGATTTCAACAAAGCAGAATTTTCACAGCTTGTTGTGATCTTGAACACGCAACTCACTGCCACAATTTTGCTTTGCTTAACTGCCTCTCTTCTACAATCCTGGCTGCGACCACTAGGCCCTCCTGTCCACCCTGCCTTTTACGGAACTATTTCAGAATCCCAAATGCCACGCAAAATAACTCCTCCGTCCTCCATATTTTTGGGTTGAAATGTAAATCGGGGATCAAATTTCAAGACGAACAAATTGGAACAAAATGCACGCCGGAAGCGTGCAGAATAATTATTTTACTGACAGGAGCAAATGTTTCGCCAGTTGCTAGTCCAACAGCACCCGCTGGACTCATGCCGTTGCCCCCCATCCGCCCAATTTGCTTCGCCATCACAAATCTTACCAATTTTTGTCTTTGTCATTCGAGGTTTAGGATTGTCTATTTACTTCATGCATTCATAAAATCTTTAGTCCGTCGATGATAACATTTCGATGCTATCCCTGTGGTGCTAGATATTGAATTCTTGAATTAAAACCGACAACAAATAAAACAAAAATTGCTTAAATTGCTGCTGTGTTTGGCAGTACATAACTAATGGCGTGCAGTGTTTGGCAGTACATAACTAATGGCGTGCTGTGGTTGGCAGTACATAACTAATGGCGTGC